CATTCCTGCATTACTTCAAGTGTTTTCTGTCTTTCTGTTGTGGAGTACTTGGCTGTGGGCAATTCTATTTATTCCATGGTAATGATATGAGATATAGAATTATGCTAGATTATTAGAAATGAAAATGAAATGCTCTTTGTTCCACATGCTTATGAAGTGTATTGACTGAAGAAATGTAATGCCTTATATAAGCGTATTGAGAAGAGACCTTTTTCTTAATTCTGAAGTCAGTGGATGGGTGGAAGGAAACAGCTATTGCTAATGTGATGTAATACTTCACATGCTTGAAGTATTACAGTTAACTTACATGTGTGTAAAACATGTGCTTAGTTTTAACAGATGACTGCATGCAGTCTTTGGGAATTACAGATGCAACTTGCGTGATACACTTTGGTTTTCCTTCTCCAAGCATCTTTGGTCAGCGTCTACACAGCATGTCTGACAACTTCTATAACGTGATAAAGGTTTGAGTAAATCTTTAACAGGTTAATATTACATTTGATTATTAAGTGCTGGATACCTAAGAGCTTTTAAATTTTTTTTTTTTTAGGATTCTTCTGTAGATCAGGAATATACAAAGGCAAGGTCAGTCATTCTGCTAACAGAAAACAGTGTATGCCATGCGCTTTGGATCCTGCGTTATCTGCAGCGTGCAGAAGCTGAAATTCCACCAGAGCTGCATGATTTTACTGCCAAGCCTCTAGAAGCTGAAGAAGATAAGAAATTTTCAAGGCCACTGTGTGCCTACCTTAAAGCATTTGGGATTTGCAAGTAAGGAAATACCAAGTATTCTTGACACCCGTACTGACACAGGAAGGCGTTTTATACCCTGAATGATGACTGCTGCGTCCTTGATGAATTTTCCTGTTGGATACTTTTATTCAAACCAGGTTTTGATCATGACTTTTTGTTCACTGTTGCATCCGTTTCGCTCTTCGTAGGTACTTTATGAAAACAACAATATTAACGTTGTTAACAGAGACAAATAATATGTAATCTGACATAGTAGCATAATTCATTATAACTCCTGCCTAGAGCTACTTGAAGGAACTTTAAGCCATCGTTTTGATTAGTATTCTAACCATAATTGCGTGAGGTTTGTGCTTTACGC